TGCCTTTTGTTTCAGGGCCAAAGTCTGTTTCTTTTGCTGTATCTGGCTTCTGGTTCAGGGTGTGTTTCTTGCTGGCCCTTTTGTACAACACATTAGGCTTCATAAGTTTGTAAATTCATTTTTTCCATTAGTTTCCTGGAGCATCAATATAAAAAATAAATATCATAATTCTTGCACATATTTTTGACACTGTCAAGTTCCTTCTACAAATAAAATAGTGTTGTATAACTGATTGGAAGTGTGTTCGTGAGAGATCCAACCAAATACTTGATAATCAGAAGAACTAAGTATCTTTTTGAGGTATTCAAAAAGTATTACATCAGATTGATTGCCCAGAAACTTTTACTCTTGTATAAAAAGTACAAAATTAAACCAAACTGACTCCATTTGTACTTTCATTGATTAAAGATTTTTGTAATGATTTCAAAGACTCCTGATTGTTGCAAAAGCTTTACCATAATGATTACATTAATGTGATTTATCTCCAGGATATGTTCTTTTATGCATTTGAAGAAAACTTAGGCATGCAAAGGTTTTCCACACTGATTACACTCACAGGTTTTTCTCCCCTGTGTGTGTTCGTTTATGTATTTTAAGATTACCACGCTGAATACATTCATAGGGTTTCTCCCCATTATGGGTTCTTTTATGTGTTTGAAGATGACTGTGCTGAGCAAAGGCTTTATGGCATTGATTACATTCATAGGGTTTCTCTCCAGTATGTGTTCTTTTATGCGTTTTAAGAGCGCTGTTGTGCGCAAAGGCTTTACCACACTGATTACATTCATAGGGCTTTTCTCCAGTATGTATTCCTTTATGAACTTGTAGACAAATGCGCTGAATAAAGGCTTTCCCACACTGATTACATTCATAGGGTTTCTCCCCAGTATGTGTTCTTTGATGAATGAGAAGATAATAGTGATTTGCAAAGGCTTTACCACATTGGTTACATTCATAGGGCTTTTCTCCAGAATGTATTCTTTTATGCACTTGTAGACAAATGTGCCGAGTAAAGGCTTTCCCACACTGATTACATTCATAGGGTTTCTCACCAGTATGTATACTTTTATGTCTTTGAAGATTACTCAGCTGAACAAAGACTTTACCACACTGGTTACATTCATAGGGTTTCTCCCCAGTATGAGTTCTTTGATGAATAAGAAGATGACTATGATGCGCAAAGGCTTTACCACACTGAGTACATTCACAAGGTTTCTCTTGAGTATGTGTTCTTTTATGCCTTTGAAGATGACTGTTATATGCAAAGGCTTTAACACATTTTGTATATACAGAAGTCTGCTCTCCAGTTTGGCTTCTTTCATGCCTTTCATGACTTTTAGAAATTGCACAATGGTCTTCAATAGTATGGTCTTCCCAAATGTATCCTTTGTAGAGCATCTTCTGTGGAGTATCCAGTAAAGTCCACTCTTCCCAAGTGAAGTTGATATGCACATCATCATAGGTCATGGCATTCATGCTGTGGCTTCTACGCTCATCCATGTTCTCCTCACAATCCTGTACAGTAGCACTCACAGAGCAGCAATCAATCCTCTGGTGCCTCTTCTGCTGTCCAGCTCATTTTTGAAAGGATGTGGGAAACAAGGGGAACAACCCTACACTGTTTGTGGGATTGCTAACTTGTACAGACACTATGGAAATCAATTTGCCAATTCCATAGAAACGAGGAATTTATCTGCCTCGAGATCCAACTATACCACTCTTGGACATATACCCAAAGAAAGCTCCATCCTACCACTCCTTTGTGGTTATTTCTTTCTGTTTTTATTAGTTCAAATTAGGAACAAGCTTGCGTCACATGTCACTCCCTTCTCCCTCTCCCTCTCCCTCCCCTCCCCCCAGCCTCCCATCTGCCCCTTACCCCAGCCCCCCTCCATTCCACAGATATACACTGAACTGAACTCAGGAACCCAGTTGCAGAGAGGGAGGAATGAAGATCAAAGGGCTCAGGACCAGGCTGGTGAAACCCACAGAAACAGCTGGCCTGAACAAGGGGGAGCACATTGACTTTTTCAATTATAAACAGAAAGAACAAAATAACTAGAGGTCGCTCAACTGAAGAACAGAAAATAATGTGTTTAGGGTTCAGGGTTTAAAAGAGAATGACACCAGATAACTTGCAAATTGGATGAACTACAAAATAAAATTTGTATACAGTATCCCAAATCTATTATGATAGACAAGGAATGTATTCGAGTATATTCAGAGGGGCACCATCTGGTAGCAGATAGAAACAGAGACAGAGACCCAGTGCCAGAAATTATGTGGGGGGAAATCCTACATTGGAGGTCACCATGAAATCCCTTCCCTCAAAACTAATGGAATCTAATTGTATGCAAGGGAAGGAAGAAAGGCTTTAAGAGTCATAGGCCTGGAGGACAAGAAAAGAACAAAGCTCCCTGAATCAACATATCACAGCTCATACAATCTCTGAAGCATCGTTGGGCTACTTATGTTCTCCCGGTGCTTCCATGTATAAATTATAGCTTTTTGCTTAGAATGTTGTGGTACTTTGACCTAAGAACATGTGTGTCGCTGACTCTTCTGCCAGCCATTGGGGCACTTTTCTTTCCATTTGGGTAGACACTTCAACTTGGTTGTAATAAGTGTTCCTTCATCTTATTATACTTTTATTTTCTTTATTTTCTCGTATTTAGTTGGTAGCTATTGAAAGCCTGTTCATTTCAAAAGTACAACAGATAGGGAATAAATACAGAGAAGAGGGGCCTGATGTAGAAATTAAAGGAGTAATGAGTAGGGAAACTAGAATCAGTATAGGTAGTTAGAGAAAGTGAGTTCTTTCCAATAAGTGAAAATAATAAGCAAAATTTTTAATTTATTATAGACCATGGAAATGATGGGAATTCAAAACAGAACACAGTTCTATTTATCCATTCATCCATCGGCCCATCTGAACATCCATCCATCCATCCATCCATGTATCTAAGAATCAACCCACCTACCTCTAGTTGTATGTCTGTCCTCAGAGTGTTCAATATCACAGTCCTGTTGAAGTTCGGCACATAGGGCTTACAGTGCAACAGGACAGCCATGTTTCTCCTGAAAGGTCTACAACCAGAAGAGTGAACGAAGCATCCTACTGTCAGACATTTCACTGGGAATGTGTCACATTATCTGACCATTGGTGAGTTATGAGGGAAACTGGCAGGGTGATTGTCCGGGGACATTCCGCTGTCTTATAGAAAAGGACATACTAATGGCAGAGTTTTGCCCAGCACTACAAGACATTAAGTAGAGGAACAGAGCTACTGAGCTGCACAGGTAGCTTCATGCTACAGCACTAGCTCAGTGGGAAAGAGGTCCTGAATGAAAGCTCTGACACCTCTTTTGAATGAAGGAAGACAGATTAACAGGTTCCTCTGTCAGTTTCAACAAGGACTGTTAGATATTGGCACATTTGCTAGCACTTTGTGTGGCAGTTAGAATGGGGAATGACTATAAATAACTCCTACAACCATGCCATGATATACTCTGTGATACTACCAGAGAGGGACATATAGGGGTGATATAGCACAAAACAACATGAGGAAACACACAAGCTTGCCCCATATCTCAACAAAACACAAAATACTTTCCTGTCTGTGAACACACACTGATGGGGGCAATGAGCAGTTCTTTTATCACATATGAAGCAAAACATCTACTTGGCTCCTTTCATGGAACCTAGCACCCAGGACCAACAAATGCCTTCTTCCTGTAGGTGCTCCACTCGATGTTTATCCTGATCTCAGACCCAAGCATGGCAGAGAATGCTGGAAGCCTGGGATTCTACAGAGGTAGTTGCAAGGAGGAAGAGGCTTCTCTAACTGTCACACTCTCTATACTGTGGATGTAGAGAGAAGGCAGGCATATTCACTGGCTCACAACTTTGATATTATAGGAAGTGAGGAAAGAAAATAGGAACGCCTATGCTGATGAAGCCTGAGTGTGATACACACTGGCTTCAAGAACAGCAGCTAAAGAGACTTATCTCAGCAAAACAAAAGATGAGGCAGAGAGAAAAGATCCAGAGGTATCTATGTCTGGGCAGCAGAAGAGCAACAAAAGTATGAAAGAGGGAACTTGTGCAGCCAGACTCACCATCGGCCTCTCAGCTGTGCATTCGACAAGAAGCATCCAAACTTAAGCATATCTCCGAGGAACACAAGACCTGTGCTTCTGAAAGTTCAAAGTGAATTCACACACAAGGAATGGTTGCAGGGTCTAGATGGGCCAAGAACGAGAGCCCCTTATCAACAAGGGATGAAAAGCAGAGAAGACAAGTGTGAGTTCAGCCTGTGCCAGCACAGAGAAAGGAACACTTCTGGGAGAAGAAAGCCAAAGAGTAGACTCTTGGCTTCCAATATCCAAGGAGCACTCCCCAAACTCAGCCCTGCCCTTCAACACAGTCAACAAGGAGCCCTTGGATCCCTTCCTTGGGTCATGGACACATGCTGACAGCTCATAGCTCAGACCAATTGAAAGGGATTCTCACCTGAGTTCCCTCACCCTGGGTGATCCTTACATCATCTTGCCAAAGACTACTGATGGTAGCTACAGTGTATGGGGCAAATCATATGCACATTATGCACAGCTTCATCATTTAACCTTAGAAAAGCACTGTCATGATAGCCCAGACTAAGGGTCAATGGGAAGTGGGATTCCCATGCCAATGACTGCCTCCTTCAGAATCCATGGCTACTGTTGGTCTCCAGGCATCTTCTGCAACCAATCCCACCTTTTAGCTTGGAATGCCGACTTCCCATTGGATGCTGCCTGGTAGAATCTTGGTGTTTCCATGGTGATGCCTGTAAACAAATTTAGATCCTAACAGGTCACCTGTGACCAGTGACCAGTGACCAGTGACCAGTGAGTGCTGTCTCACACTGGACACACTTGTCTCTGAGGTCTGCTGATCAGACAAGGAGGACCAATTTTTCTTGATCTATTGTACTGTGGATTGATGATACTCTCCCCCAAACATGTCAGGTAAGGAAAGAAACTTTAAATCTTTTGATCACTCCTCCCCTTACTTTTACTATATATATAAATCTTTCATGAATGGGAATACTATCGATGCTGACATGGATATCTCGGGCGAATGTCACATTTAGCTTCAGTTGATATTTGGTATGTGAGTCTGGAGACACAGTTTGTTCTCAGGTGTTTTCTATCCACTCGAGAGAGAAAACAGTGTCACTGTGCTCTGGGGTCTCTAGTGTCGAGTCCTCAGAGGCGAGTGAACAGTGAATTAAACCAAGCTCTTCTTGACTGTGTTGGCCTCAAGAGCTACAAGAACATGATTTAGGTGTGCAGAGATCTGGCACTCCATATCAGGAAATGGACAGTCTCCCTCCACTACTATTTTGCACTTTTGTTCCAAATTCAGGGTTGTTTAAAAGTAAGGCTCTCACCAGGTAGGGTGGCACAAACCTGTCACCTCAGCATGTAGAGCTTGACAGGATGAAGGTCAGTTCACTCTAACATGTACTACACTTTTCTCTCTCCACAATTACCAAATAGATATTAAAATATGCAAGGGAAATGACTGCCATATTTTGAGTTACCTGGACATCTCTATATATACATGAAGGAAAGTGGGGAGAGGCTAACTGGGCTGTGGGTTCTGAGAAGGCAGGTATTATAGTCAAAGAAATACTGAGGCTCTTCCATGGAAGGCAGTGCCACAGGAAATGGGAGAAAGCAGAAAACAAAGTAAGAAGGGTTAGAAAATATAGAAATCCAAAAGGCACACTGCAGAGATGAGCCTGAGGTATGCAAAGGTAGTTTGGAACACAAAGTTGTAGACAGCCACAGATTTATATCAAAAGGCACAAGGCATTGCCATGCACCAAACCATATTTAGGCAACCAGACTGTTGAGATCATTCTGGATATAGGTCCCCGGTCACAGGTGGGAAATACTATCACTCCCTCCAGCCCAAATTCGGCAGCATTCCTCCAGGCTCATGTAACTCCTCATGTAGGATATTACCAGCTGGGATTGGGCACTCCACAGACAGGTATTCCATGCACAATGACAACTGACAACATGTGAAAGTGTAACACAATTCCCACCAATATTCCTCACAGAAATGTAATCAGAAATTACGAGTACCCCAGGAACTGTTAAAGAGCCAATTTAAGGGACACTAAACCTGAGAAAATCTTATTCAGAGATGAAATCCCTTAATTCCTTAGCAATCTCAAGAGGTTACACAAAACAGGTGCAAATAACAACAAACATTTCAGCAGGTTGTATTCCTGGAGTCCTACATGAATAATTGATTAATGGCTGTAAAACTAAGAAGAGGTCACAGATGATACAAAGGAGGGGAGGGAAACAGGAGAGGAGGAAGGGAATATTAGCTGACTACTCTAATTTTCTATGAAATTCTAGATACATCATAACATGAAGGAGGCTCAGAGTAGAGACAAGCCTGGTGGACATGGCAAGTACCTAGGACACCAGCACTCTGGAGGCAGAGGCAGGCGGATGTATGGAACTCGAGGCCAGACTGCTCTCTAGCTAACTTAACAGAGTAAGAAATGCACAGAACAGGGATAAGGCAGACAAGGTACGAGAGGATGTCTAAGGTTCTCCAATCTGGAAAAGCACACAGATTCGAGGGAATATCACAGCTGGCACAGCAGGGCAAAGATCAGAGCAAGGGTTAAAACAGAGCATCCAGGACTTCTATGCTCAAACAGTAATGACAGGCAGCTCATCTAATGAGTGCCATCCCATCCAGTACCAAGAAGCATTCTGAATCCTTTTGTTTGAGATATGTGAGGGAACATGGGTTACAGACTCTCCCTGACGGGACAAACTGGAGATAACACAGCTCTTCACAGGGAGCTACAAAATTTCCATCTCACCATTTTCCCACTGTTCTCTTGCTTCCCACAGATAATTTCCAAAGCGCACCATTCTATGGGACAGAATGTGCTCTGAGGCACTCTGTGCCTGTGCTGAGGAATTACACACCCTCAGCAGGAATTGTGTGCAACTGCTCCAGGGTCTCCCCCCCAGCTGGGAGTTCTGCATGGCCCCTGCCATCAGACCCCAGCACTTGTTGCCAGCAGCTCATGGACAGTGACTACCTTTACCATCGAGCTGGCACGACCATGCTGACTACACTGACTGAGCAGAATCAGATTTCTACCTTGGCACTCTCCTATCCAGGTGCTCTCCCGAGGGATCTCACAGGAAGCACTGACAGGAAGGACTTCACTGTAGCTATCACTGACCAGAATGCCACCCTCTCCTCCTGGTCCATGACAGCCTGGTGTGATAATATTTTAGATCTCAATGCTTTGGTCTCTTCCTGTCCAACAGTGTCTGCCAACTATCTTCAGGCAACATTGCCACATATATGGAATCAAGGATATAGCCTGGCACCTTCCTATCAGGAGGGCAGCCAGGTCAATTACTATGCCCACAATAGACAGGGACACCTGATGGATGGAGAAATCAGGCAGTGCCTGCAGGCCTATGGCTCTTTGTCCTACTCTGGGAGTCAGGCCTCTGCCCTGCAACCAGAGACGATGATGGTGTTCAAGGAGATTCAGCCAATGAATGTCCCAACACCTTTTTCCACCTCTGCCATCTACTGTCCCAGGTCTGCACCAGCCATGTCAGACACCACTCTTCAAGGTGAGTAAAGCCAGGAGGGCAAGGAGTGAGATCACTTCTCTATCTTTCAGTAGGCGATGCCCACACAGAGGAAGAATGGAGCACCGAGAGGATAGATTTGCCTCTGGCTCTCCATCCCCATCTTCAGTCTCAATAATGAGAGAAAGTCATCCTCCAGCCCAAAGAGTTCACCTCCTTATACTAATTGTCATGTCATTTATAAGAAATCTCTGAAAGGTGGGGCTGGAGGAAAGTCAGGGTTCTACAACTGGTGGCCTGTCAGGAGTACGGAATTGGATAGGGCAACCTAACCTCCTATAAAAACCGAGCTTTCTGGGGAAAAAGTAGTAATGACACAAACTGAAGCAAGGGAAAAGAAAGACACATGTAAGTTTGGAACCTTTAGACCTGACGACCATCTAAGAGTAAACTTCCAAGGAAAGGAGAGGCACTGATTCAAACACAAAGGGGAAGGCAAGGGAACAACATATGCCAAGGGAATTCTGTAACCTCCCAGTCATCACTGCGCATGCACACACCACACAAACACAAAGGGACACACAAACATCTGAGAACGCACACAAGACATCAAATGGTCACCACATATCACTATGTGTCTCCAAACAGAGGTGATGCACTTGCCACTCAAGGAGAGCTACAGGAAGCCCAGCCCCAATGCTGTAGGGACCTTAGTGCTGAGGTGCCCTGAAAGGTGGGGAGCATCTCACTCACCAAGCACTGTATGCATGATTCACTCTTTTTCAGTGGTGGATATGGAGACATCTCTGGGATTGACACCTCCAGGCCAGACACTCTGTCTCCTGCAGAGTCCAGAGCTCTGCAATGCCTGCACACAGGATGTCCTGATAAGGAAACCACCCGTCTTTGGGGACAGCTCATTGACTGCCCCCATCCTAAGTCCTTCGAAATTCTTGACATTGCCTCTGGCTCCAAGCCTGGAACAAACAGAGAATAACAATATGGATGAGATGACTGCAGAGCCATTGCTGCCTATGAAGGCCTATGAGTGCATTAAAGAAAACCAAGATGCATCACTCCTCCCCTTAGCACACCCTGACATGCAGCAGCCCCTGAACTACACTGATGATGGAAGCCGAAGGCGGGAGCTAGCTTCTGATAATTCCACCTTGGGAAGCACTAGCCTTGGTCTGGAAGAGCCAGGGACTCTGTGGAGTGTCATGGTGTCCAGCATTGATTTTGAAGACATGACTACCCTTGTGTCAGACATTCAACTTCCCCAACTCTTAAACTCCCTCACTGACCTTGTCCAATATGAAGATCCCCCAACAACACAATCGAAAGACTTCAGAGTCTTCAGGAGGGATCAGGTCCAGGAAAACTCCAGCAGCAGCATCTTCACATACAAAGAGGTGCACAGGAACGATCAGAAAGCCTCTGATCTGCTTCGTGGAGTTCCTCAGGCCAGAATCCAGTGCCAGGTTCTGTTAGAGGGAGAAGAGGCTCTAGGCATTGCTAGGGCCAGTGAAGGGGCTATTGACAACATGGCCAAGCACTTGGATGGCACAGCTCAGAAATATGCGCACAGCAGGCCCAGGATATTTAGGGCACAGGGCCAAGACAAGACCAAGAGAACCAGAGAAAACAAAACCAAGAAATCTGGGAAGCTGAAGCCATCTTGTTCTAGAGTCAAGGTTGAAGACAAGCTCAGCATCCTCAAGACCAAGAGGAAGAGGAATCCACCTGAATTCAGCCAGGGCAGCTTTAAAAAGCCTCGCACTCACCTCGGCATGCACATGCTGGAGGCAGTGCAGGTCTTTCACCCACTGGGAAAGAAGAGTGACAAGAAAACAGGCATCTCCTCCTCCCAGAGTCTGCCGAACTTGAGCAGCAGCCAAGATCCGAACACAGGCCCAGCCACCAAATCAAAGGTGGATGTGCCATGTGATGGCCGAGGGCCTGCCAAAACCCAGGGCAATGCTCACAGACCAGAGAGTAGTGCTCACAAGGAATGTCCTTCTCCTTCTCCATCCCTGTATGAGCTGCCCCCACCTGGGAAGGTCAAGTTAGTACCTCTGCCTTTCCCAGACCTGGTAAAGCCTCAACCCAGACCACGTTCCAGAAAGCTTCTCTCCCTGGCTTCACGCAAGCCCACTGCAGCTTATGCTGTGAGGCCACATTCCCACTGGGCTCAGTCTAACACACTCAAGCCTTCCCAACCAGCTCCTGCCAGCATATCTGTGATGGCCTCTGACAAGACAGCTGGGCTGACTGCCACCAGTGCCACACCACCTAATGTAACACACAGCTTCCTTTCTTGCATGAGGCCTCAGGCAGCTGTCCCTGAGCCTGGCCCCTATAGAGTATCATCTCATACTTCACTCAAGAGGGAGCTTGTCTCTGCTGCCAGGAACAAGGCCACATCACCCCCCAAACCTCAAACTCAATATCTGCTGCAAGACTTCAGTCACCATCCAATTCCATGGAGGAACGTCGACATTCCAGGGCCAGTCATCTCACAGCCCATCACAGCACAGCAGAGGCCAGAGAGGGAGGCCATGAAGAGGTGGGCTCAATGGGAACGACAGAATGCTGCCAAGTGCACCTCTCAGGACAAACTGCACGTTTTCCTTCACAGGGAGAAGGAAATGGAAATTGCTCGATATTATGGCTATGCAATGTAAGTGCTGGCCAAGCCTTTGGAACACAGTGGTAGTCATCACTCACAAGGTGAGATATACATACAGACACAAGGGTATGTCTTATGTTTAAAGTTTCTGGTGTGTACGTACATACATTGTACAGATGTTGGGATGTAGATTAAGGTGTACATGTCTGGATTTATATATAAATGCACAGATAGTTTCTATGCTTATAAATACTTGAAGACACAAAAATTGACTGTAGAAACCTAAGCCAGTTATTTCATCCATGAAAATATATAAAGAGAGGGTTCGAAGTTTTCCTCATAACTTGGCTATCATTAACCTATGTTGCCAAAGTAAAAATAGATGCTACATAAATGCATCATATGTGTTAGTGATTACTTAATGCCAAAGCCATTAGCGAAAAGCAGTAGTGGTGATAAAATTATTCTCCTTGACTTTTATTTTCATGACACCGGTTACCAATCCTGAGAGTATGCAGTATAGTGACCACACTCCTGCTTTTACCACACTTCCTCCCATTCTGATGCTCTCACTCCAGCCCTTTTCTCTTTAGTTGTTTGGGACAGAGGTCTTCCTGCAATTTCAGGAAATGAAATTCAGGATTCCAGATGCACACAATCAAGCACCCAGCTTGAAGGGAACATACCCATGGTTGACTCTCTCTCTGAGATGGGTTTAATTTGATTACTATATTAACCTCAATTTGTATCCAGTTTTGAAGCATCCGTTTAATGTTTAAATTTATTTTGTGTGCGTGTCATCCCCATGGATTCGTGTGGAGGGCCCAAAAGGGCACTGATTCTCCGGAGTCTGGAATTCACTGAGATTGGAAGCTACCATGAGGTCCCCTGACTTCAGCCTGCGGACTCCAAGAAGAGCAAGTGTCCTTATCTGCTGAACCATCTCATCGAGCCCCAGTTGGATCTGCCTACTACAAACAACACAGCTTCATTTTCACTATGGTCATAAGGACTTCACATTCTATGTTCTTCACGTGTTCTTCACTCATTGACAATGCTGTTGGACACCAAGCTTGGTTCACTAGTGTTCTGCACACAGAGCTGCAATCAGCACTGAAGGGCAAGTACTTCCTTCATAACAAGGTATACATGAACTATGAGGTAGGGCAGGTTTGGGCTTTTGGAGAACCCTCCATACTGGTATCCAATCAGGATGGACACCCTGACATACCCACCAGTAGAGTATAAGGATAAACAGCATTCCCTTCTGATAAAAACATCAGCTCTGTTTCCCATTTCATTTCTAGGTGGCCTTGGTTGGCAGCTCCTGAAATTTCACAATATATTTCCCTGATACCTCCTGGACTCACTCTCGTTTTCAGTAAATCTCTGAGGACTGTCTTTTGACTGCTCCTTTACTAGGTGGGTTGACTTCTTTCTCATAATTTACATTGTTACCTCATTATAAATAATCCAAATATTGATTCTCTGGCTGAGGTTAGCAATAGCAAAGGTTTCATACCCTCATGTAACTCCTTCTTTTGCTAGCAATGAATGCTTTCCTTCTGTGTGAGACCTTTTGGCAATTCCTGCCAGGTTTTCTGGAGTGGTTGGTGTTGTCCTCCATTCAGGCCTGTCCCTAAACCTTCCACTGTGCTATGCTAGGATCTAACAGTTTCAGAGTTTGTTACACAGTGACCTCTGAGGGATTTGGCATTGGCATTTTACAGGGTCAAACAGAGGAAGAAGAATGCTCTTATGGATTAACTTGCTCTTATTTTCTTTCCTGTTGTTCTGTAACCTACTATGTTACATCAGGCTGGCCTAGAACTCACACTAATGTGCCTGCCTCTGCCTCTGCCTAGGCCTCTGCCTGTGATTCTGCCTCAAGGGTGCTGGGACTAAACGAATGGTGGAATGATGTAATCAGTTTCTTCCTGAACATGTGAATATCCAAGTTTCCAAGCCCAATTTGATGAAGAGGGCATGTGAGAGTCAAGGTGTGGTTTGGTGCATACATAAAATTCAAGGAGACTTAGAAGCATGTGTGTAGACTGGAGCTCAACTCAGATTCTTTTCTTTTGTTGTGAAAACCCGTGGCTCATGCTGAGATCATAGGAACTCCTTGCCCACTGCTGCAAGGAGGGGAGCATCTCACTTACCATGCCCTGCCTTCTTCCTTGAATCATTTTCAGTGATGGAAATGGATTGATAATTCCAGCTAGATATTCCTTCTGCTTCAGGGTATTACTCTACAAATTCTGCACCCAGGATACCCAGAGGAAGACAATACCTGTGTATTGGGACAGATCATGAACTGATGGCATCCCAGTCCTTCAGAATTCCCGACCTTGATTCCAGCCGCAAGCCTGAAACAAACAGAAAATAACAATTTGGTTGAGATGAAAGCCTGTGGATGACTATGAGGGCACCAAAAAAGAAAAAAAAAACAAGAGCAATAAGTACACCCAATATGCAATATGCAGCAGGCCCTGGCTACAGTAAAGCTAGTAGCATAACACAGAACCTATAACCTATTTGTCACAGTGCCACCTTAGGAAGTAGCAGCCTCACGTAAGATGTTCCTACTTCAAATTATCCATAGTAAGTTGCTGGCTTCACAGATTCATGTGTGGAAAAATACATGCAGATCAATGATGCAAAGTTTACTGCTCATTCTTATGAAAAGGAATAAAATTAAGGTGTCAGTTTCATAAAATGGGTATTTTAAGTAAAATATTTCCTGACACATTCATAAAATCTTTCAATATATTTGTTTATTCTTTTCTGTGTATATTTGTTATTAATTACCATTTTTTATAACTGCCCTAAACATTGTGACTATCTAACCTGTCAGGGGACACTACTATATATAATACCTCACCTGAGAAATTTCTTTAAACATACAGATTCTCAGGGCTGGGGAGATGGCTCAGGGGTTAAGAGCACTGCCTGTTGGCTCCAAACTGCAAGTAGCTCAGCATCCAATGGAATGATCTTCTGGCCTCGATGGAAACAGACACACACACACACACACACACACACACACACACACACACACACACACACACACAGAGAGAGAGAGAGAGAGAGAGAGAGAGAGAGAGAGAGTTTTTAAAATCGTTTTTCTAAAAACATAGATTCTGAATACTCATCTGTGAGATGATTCTCCTAAGACATGTCTAAGAATCAGAAATTTTGAAAACTTTACTTTTCCAGACAGGGTCTTACTGTGTATGCCAAGAGAGCCTCCAACTCTTTATCCTCCTGGCCCAGCTATCTGAGTGATGGGATTTCAGGTATACACTCTATGACCATGTGAGGACTTTGCTATCACAAATAATAATCACAAAAATTCTAATAGGTATCTCTCTTTATGAACTGTTTTTGGAAGATGATAAAGTGAGGCCTCCTCCTTCCTACAAAGCAAATATTTTAGTAAACGGATATGCAAAGCTATGCTGGCTATTTGAAAAAGGGTTCATTAAGAGATTCCCAATAACTGAGCTAGAGAGATGGCTAAGCAGCTAAGAGCACCTGCTATTCTTTTTATGTTTTAATATGTTTTATTTTAATTAGAAAGAAGATTATTTTACATGTTAATCCCAGGTCCCTCTCCCTCCCCTCCTCCCCTGCCCCCCCAACTAATACCCTACCTATCCCATACCCCTTCTGCTCCCCTGGGAGGGTGAGGCCTTCTATAGGGGGTCTTCAAAGTCTGTCATATCCTTTGGGATAGTGCCTAGGCTCACCCCCTTGTGTCTAGGCTCAGGGAGTATCCCTCCATGTGGGATCGGCTCCCAAAGTCCATTCCTATGTCAGGGATAAGTACTGATCCATTACAAGGGGCCCCATAGATTTCCAAGGTCTTCTCACTGACTCTCACATTCGGGGGGTCTGGATTGGATCAGTCCCATGCTGGTTTCCTAGCTCTCAGTCTGTGGACCAAGAGCTCTCCCTTGTTCAGGTCAGCTGTTTCTGTGGGTTTCACCAGCCTGGTATGGACCCCTATGCTCATCAGTCCTCCTTCTCTGCAACTGGATTTCAGTTCAGTTCAACATTTAGCTGTGGATGTCTGCTTCTACTTCCACCAACTGCTGTTTGAAGGCTATACGATGACACATGAATTAGTCATCAATCTCATTATCAGGAGAGGACATTTAAGGTAGCCTCTCCTCTGTTGCTTAGATTGTTAGCTGGTGTCATCTTTGTAGCTCTCCAGACATTTCCCTAGTACCTGATTCCTCTGTAAACCTATAATGTCTCTCCAGAGCAAGTGCCAGGATAGGCTCCAAAACGACACAGAGAAACCCTGTCTTGAAAAAAACCAATAAAAACCTATAATGTCTCCCTCTATTATATTATCTCTTATCTTGCTCTCTTCTGTTTTCCCCCCAACTCAACCTTGTAGGGGAAGCTGTAGCCACGCCTGCTTAGGGGCTGGCTACAGGTGTGCCTGACCACGACTGTCAGGGTGATGTATAGTGAGAGGGGTCAGGTGGCTGGGTTCGGTTTCGGTTTCTGTTTCGCTTTCGGCTTGCTGTATAGACTACTGCCGTGCCGGGTGGCTAGGTTGCTCTGTAAGTAAGGCTTTTTCCCTATTAAAATCCCTTGTATTTCTGTCTGGCTCTGTGTTGGTATTTTACCACATTATCTGGTGTCAGAAGTGAGATATTGGAAACCTAGGCCCTTTGGGACAGCCTGTGACTTCCACCAGGGTGCCGACCCCCTGCACCACACAAGTGTGTTCCGACTGCTGCTGAGCTGCTCAGAACAGTCTGCCCAGCTGGGAGAGTTCCACAGACCTCCCCACGGTTTCTAGCTGCAGGCACGGGACCGGCTCGGACTGCGGCCTACCCGTGCAGAGCCGAGTAGGCCTCGGCTTTCAGCAACGGCCTCCCCTGGCCAGTGCAGCGTAAAGCCGTGTCTCTTTCAGAGGTTGAGGCCACAAGGCCGTATACTCGCTAAGATAAGTGCAGCTGCTTTTGTGACCTCTCTCCACTGCTGTCACCATCTTGCCTGACTGACAACTGCCAAATGCTGCGCCGAGTAGCT